GGCGGAGGCTGAAACAAATTGGCAGTTTCTTTCACCCGATGCCTCTGTTTACCTAACAGTAAACAGGAACCCGAGAGTTCTGACAGCTACATACTGTCATACTTGCAGTGTAATAGGTGTAACAGTGAAAGTGCATACAACTGAATGTCAGGCAAGCAAGTCTGATTCAGTCTGAGGTGGTCACCGGAGACCCCCCCCCCAAGGTTTTTTTTTTTTTTGGGGGGGGGGGAGTAAAGAGGAAGGAGAGGCATAGGTGAAGGGAAGTATAGAAGTGGGAAATACAGTGAGAGGTATGAAAGCAGGCGGGCTGTCCGCCTTGCTGACACGATGTGTGGGTGTTGGCAGCTAAGCTAAGCTGGCTCCCTCTTGTCAGGGAGCTGTGTGTGAGAGGTTCTTCACATGTGTTTCACCATATATGGATGTCCATAGATGAATACTGTGTAGCATTCATATATACACACTCCGATGCTTCCACACATGTTGTTCTGTTTAAGGCTCTATTTTATTATTATTATTTATCGAGTTGTTCATACACATTATTTATCGAGTTGTTCATATATATATATATATATATATATATCTCATCTGGGGATTATATACTGTGGGGCGGGGTTTTCATCCAGAGAATGGAGGCTCTTGGGCCACCAGCTGTGGGAGCGGGGCGTCTCATCTTTGAGCAATCTTTCGGGTCCTCTAACATTTCGATGGTGTTCCATACCCTGATGGCTTGGTGCTGCAGTCTGATGTTTAGTGGCTGTGTGTTCAGGAGTTCATGGAGCTCCTGGATTGTCTGACCATATGGTGGACGGTGTTTTGCTGCTCTCCTTAGCGCCTTATTTTGCACTGCTTGCAGTTTCTGCATGTTAGTTTTCTTTATGGTGTGTAGTGGTACTGGGGGATATTCTAGATGCGGCCGAACTAGAGCCTTATATAAGTGGATCTGAATGTTAGTACTGAGGCTTCGGAATCTTCTCAGTTTTCCTAATGCTGCTTTGGCTTTGTTTAGTCGGTCCCTTACATGAATTTGTATCCCTGTTCTATTTATTGTATCCCTGTCCCAGGGGGTGAGGTGGTAACCGGCGACCCCCCCTCCCCTCAGGGGGGAGAGGTCAACGCCAACCCTCCCCCTCCCTCCAGGGGGGGGGGGTTGAGGTGGTCACCTAACTGAAGCAAGGTTTGGTAGTCAAGTGAGGTCATCTTATCAAGAAGCAAATCACTCCTAAAGTTTAAAAATCACAAGAGGAATGTAGGATACAGGACCACAGAAGAGGAGAGATGTTATCTACAAGATGTTCATCAGTGGGAGACGGAAATCGAAGGAAAAATAAAGACTAACTCACAGAACTCAACAAAAGCAAAGAAGCAAGGGAACAATTCATGCCTCTCAAAAGGCAAGTGGATGGAAGAGCAACAAACCCACAGTTTAACTGAATATGAAGAGGAAGGCGTCGGGAAGACAAGTTTTTGTACTTGTATATATGTACACAACTAATACAACAGCCTATACACAAGTGTGTGTATAGGCTGAGTCTAAAGACCCCCAAGTGAGAGAGCGCGACATCACCCTCCCAGCGACCCGCGGGCCCCGTTGACCTTCTCCTCTCTAGATAGAGAAGTATCCGACACTAGCACACCGAGAGGTGCAGACCACGAAGCCCAACAATATCAGCAAGTGATGAGAAAGATTTGATTTCCATGTCCACAGTATGAAGAGTTGTGGTACACTGGCGTGTAACAAGTGAAAGCAGCTCCCGGGCGTGCGCAGCTGGGCGGGAACACTATTGTTATTGTTCAACAGCTTCTCTGTATAACAATAGTTACGACTGAACACCCCGCCTCAAGAACCCAGGTCTAAGAACCCGCGTTATATGCTCACATGTGAAAGTTCAAACACCGATATCGAGAGACTCGAATAAACTGCCAGCGGGAGAAAGTTAGGAATGTGGTGTTGAGGTGGGTTTGTTTACCTCCCTCGTCCTGGTGTTGACGTGGGTTTGTTTACCTCCCTCGTCCTGGTGTTGACGTGGGTTTGTTTACCTCCCTCGTCCTGGTGTTGACGTGGGTTTGTTTACCTCCCTCGTCCTGGTGTTGACGTGGGTTTGTTTACCTCCCTCGTCCTGGTGTTGACGTGGGTTTGTTTACCTCCCTCGTCCTGGTGTTGACGTGGGTTTGTTTACCTCCCTCGTCCTGGTGTTGACGTGGGTTTGTTTACCTCCCTCGTCCTGGTGCTGATGCTCAACACCCGTCACTGGCAACACCCGTCACTGGCAACACCCGCACTTTAACAACCGTGCAATGTTGCAAAACAAATTAAATATTGGGGGATATGTGGAGAGGTTGCTTACGTATGCTTGTGTCAACAGCTGACGCGAGTGTTTCCCCAGAGTTGGGTAACCAGAAATTATATCAACCCGAATTTTGTAGTTACCCCACGTTGTATAAACATGTCTAGGCATTGTAAAATGTCTAATTTTGTAAAGAAACTGTTTCGTATGTGAAATATTTTATTGCCACTCCTGGTGTATATTATAGTGCTCCTCCGAGCTCCATTAACCTGTTGGCGTTACTGGTACTCATTAACCTGTTGGCGTTACTGGTACTCATTAACCTGTTGGCGTTACTGGTACTCATTAACCTGTTGGCGTTACTGGTACTCATTAACCTGTTGGCGTTACTGGTACTCATTAACCTGTTGGCGTTACTGGTACTCATTAACCTGTTGGCGTTACTGGTACTCATTAACCTGTTGGCGTTACTGGTACTCATTAACCTGTTGGCGTTACTGGTACTCATTAACCTGTTGGCGTTACTGGTACTCATTAACCTGTTGGCGTTACTGGTACTCATTAACCTGTTGGCGTTACTGGTACTCATTAACCTGTTGGCGTTACTGGTACTCATTAACCTGTTGGCGTTACTGGTACTCATTAACCTGTTGGCGTTACTGGTACTCATTAACCTGTTGGCGTTACTGGTACTCATTAACCTGTTGGCGTTACTGGTACTCATTAACCTGTTGGCGTTACTGGTACTCATTAACCTGTTGGCGTTACTGGTACTCATTAACCTGTTGGCGTTACTGGTACTCATTAACCTTGGGCTTCTTGCGCTTAAGGCCTACAGTCATATGTACATGTGCATAAGTCACGTTGGGCGGTTCCCAGGGAGGAAGGGTGGACTGCCGGCCAAGAAAGGGGGGAAAGCGGCCCAAGGATGGGGGGGAGGGGAGGAAAGCGGCCCAAGAAGGGGGGAAAGCGGCCCTAAGGTGTGGGAGGGGGAGAGGGGGAGCCCAAGGCGTGGATATTATCCTGCCTCTTAAGAAAAGCTGGACCAAATAAAGTAGGATAAGCTGGGGTCATATCGCGTGTACCGAAGTGTAGTATGTTCTTCAGTAACTAGCAGCACATACTAAACTAGTCTTCACTAACCTAGCCTCTGGACCCCACCAACTAGCTGGGGTCTGCTAGACTTGTGTAACACCGCCACAACACATTTCCTGTCTAGCAGCAGCTGCTCAAACTTATCTCACCACACGCTGATTAATCTCCCTGCGGCTTCCCCCCCCCCCCCAGAGTACGCCCTCATCCCCCATAGTACGCCCCCCATCCTTGCGCCCTCGTGCCCCCCCCCCCTCCCCGTGAAAACAACAGTTTCACCCAACGCCCACAAACTCACTGTACTTGCTAATTATCGATCACCGAGCTACGAGCAAGCATCGTGTACCAGCAGCAACTCGCCGCTCCTAACATGATACATAACCGAAGCAGGGCCCTAATTTGCCCGAAACGCTGTATTGGTGGCTTTAGGTATTGTATGTACTAGCTCTATCTATAAATCCAACATTATGTCTAACTCATCTTCTACGTATGTACTTTTACCCGAATAAACATTTTGGTTTCGAGTTTTTTAAATATCTTAAACTCTTCCACACTACGTTGAAAAATAATTGATAAATTATATTGCTATAATTACTCTTATAAAGGAGGAATAAGCGAGGAGCTGTCAGCCACGAGACCCCCAGTCACTGTGCAAACAATGTTGCAAGAAGTCTCTTGCACACTTTCTTTAAACACGAGAAATTGGCTTCCAAGTTTTCACCGACTGTGAACATCAAATTAAATTGTTGCATAGTTTTCAGAAGCACCGGTAGCAGTAGTTTATGAAATCTACTTGAGGATGTCTGGTTCAAGACAGCCCAAGTAACAATTTAGCGGTAAACCCAGACAAGGAACACCAGGACATTCTACAATACACCAGGTAGAAGGGTAGAAATAGCCTAAGCTACTCTATCTTTTGAGTTTTTATGGTCTCAATAAACGTACTTGAACTTGAACACACCCGGTGACAACTATGATTCTTATGTGTAATAATGTCCAGACTAGCACCGCCTTTTTGCTCCTGAAGATGATGAAAGTATAGGAGTGTGTGGCGTGTGTAAGAGGCTGTTGTATAAACCGCAGTGCGGAGGCGGCCAGGTCAGTCTGCACGCTCCGCCATTATGCCGGGCCAGGCTCCAGGCGTCATAGACTACACTACACCCAACACTGTCTACTCCTACCACCACTACACTTTTCCTCAAGAGGCAAAAAACAGTTTAATATAAACAACCAGTAGTGCCACGGGGCGGGCTAGGAGTTCAGCTAAAGACCGTGAACACGTCTACTAAACCTACACGATACGAAGCGCTAGTGTATATATACAATATACTAACGTCGGTGTCAAGACACGCGGTGTATTTTCAGACATGCTGACATACCGGTATAATTAGTATGCATGAACACACACCCCTCCTGCAGGAAGTTATGGCCGGGTTGTCGTGCCTCAAACCCGGACGCCAATACCACAGCAGGATAAACCCACATTACCTACGCTCTGCAACACCCCCACGCTCTCTAGGGGTTCCCAGCCAAGCTTACCCAGACAAAGTCGACATACGTATCAACATTGCGATATTAAACAAAATGTACTTTGATGATAAACAAACCACATATTTAACTCACGGTTTTCCAGAGATGCAGACCGTGAAGCCTAGACCGTATTTGGAGAGGAGATGGAGCACTTCAGGCACGGTCCGCAGGGCTCCCAGCGTGCTGAACACCGCCAGGACAATGTTCCAAACTACCAGTATTGGCCGTAGTTCGAACCTGGGCCGGTGCTGCATGAAGGATGTCCCCGTGAAGATGAAGGAGACGTACATGGTGGTCCAGATGAGGCTGTGCCACCAGTTGACTCTCATCCACCCGGTGTAGTCCCCGACCTCGAACTCCTCCTCGAAGTTGAAGGTATAGCCGTAGGTGTAGTTTGTAGCCGTGATGTAGTGACCATTCTCCTGACGAGGCGGGACAGTCAAGTCGTAGACCACAGTCTTGTTGTTCTGTGTCAGGGCGAAGATGGTATTGTCCCCCCAGCGATACTTATGTAGTGGCTCCATGATCCTTCAACAGGTGGGGGATGCTAGTGTATATATATACACAAGTATACGGTATATATACAATTTTCTGAGTATATAAATACACTTGGGGAATCACAGTTAGCCGGTGTAAATTAAAGTGTTAGGACTGAACAGCAGGGAACAAGGCGAGTGATGGTTGGAGGCACGTGTAGCTAGGGAGGACGGGAGTGGTGGTGGCAGGAGCCGGTGTAAGCAACCTCTCCACTACCACGGCTGGTGGCAGAGTGAGTCAGGCAGGCAGCAGGTCGCAGCTGGAGACGTGTTCACTCCTCCACCACACACGCACCACTGTGGGAGAAGTGGGTCACCCACGGTAGCTGGACACTACCTCCTGGACTCACAAGGTGTGCGCGCTCACACACTTCATGTGGGCACTTCTTCATAGGACTTAAAACATCCGGACTTGGACCAATTTGCCGCTCCCAAAATACACAACTTGGAAACTGTGGAGCGGCGTGCGTTGCTGGTGGTGTTGCCGGCTTGTAGCCTCACTATGAGTGACTATTTGGCTCTACACTTATCACAGATTGGTGGGGATCCCGTTATTGGACAACATGTATGTAATTACCGGAATAAACTGACGCATATCCGTATGGCACGCCTGCACTCGTCACCACACACAACAGTCACCTTGTTCACTCACTCAATCTCAATACACAACTCTCTAGTATTCACAATAAACAAAAGAAAACTGTATTTTGTATACCGTGGACACTGTCCCACTGACCTACACCTACCAGTATGACGAGGATGGACGAGGGCACTGTGTAACAAACCATTCCATTCACTCTTGCATTTTATATAACACACACTTTGGTCAGAGTCCTGGATAGGGTGTGGGGGGGGGGGCCTTGGGTGGGGTGTGTGGGGGCCAGGGGTGGGGTGTATGGGGCCAGGGGTAGGGTGTGTGGGGGCCAGGGGTGGGATGTATGGGGGCCAGGGGTGGGATGTGTGGGGGCCAGGGGAGGGATGTGTGGGGGGCCAGGGGTGGGATGTGTGGGGGGCCAGGGGTGGGATGTGTGGGGGGCCAGGGGTGGGATGTGTGGGGGCCAGGGGTGGGGTGTGTCGGGGAGGGGACAGCAGTGGCTGGGGTCTCATGGGGTCGACTAGTTTTCTAAAGGTCAAGTGTGCGGTGAACGACCGAGTGGATGTAGTGTTACCCTGTGTGACCCACACCTGTGCTCTCTTGCTGACTGTATCTTCCCACACCTGTCCACCTGTCCCCCGCACAGTCACGGCTTAGTATACCTGTTTGTAGCCTGTGTTAGTGGCTGGACGATGCTTTAGGACCAGGTCCATACATTCTCTTTTTGATCTACCGGTTACTTGATACACGTTTTGCGTGATCCAGGAAATGAGAATGACTAGGCTGCCACACCCCCTTTCCGAGGCATGACAGCCTCTCCTCCTCAAGGGCGTGCACCCTTGTCACCATAGGAAGTTGTGTATGGCTGTGTCGTTTGTCCTTGGCTGCGGTATGTGTCACCTGGGGCCATGACACCTGCATGTGTCATCTTTCATTGGCACCACTATGCGTCATCTGTCATCGGCACTAACATGTCATTGACACCATTGTGTCATGCCATTTACGTAATCATGACACTTATCATGTCCCATCTGCCTTTGACACCATCATGTGTCATCTGTCAATGGTACCAACATGTGTCATATGTCAATGGTACCAACACGTGTGTGAACGAGGCTATGAGGATTATTCTTGGATGTCAAAGAAATGCAATGATTGAAATAATGAGAATGGAATTAAATTTACAGAGTGTGTGTGATAGAGTCCGTGACATTAACACTAGAGTATCTATTCGTTTCATGCGGAGAAAAGGAGGGGATAAGCTGTTTGAGAGCGTTCAGACCTGCTTGAGTGACGTACACACTTCCAGGAAACTGAGGGAGACTCGCTATACGAGAGGATTAGCTCATGACCTCAGGGAATACGACGTACTTGACTGCTGTAAACCCTCTCGAAAGTGTAATATGTCTGCTCCCTGGAAAGTACAGAAAATAGACGTCGAAATTGTACCCCTCAAGGTGAAAAAGATTCATCATGAACCGGGACAATTACGGTGTTTGTATGGAAGCATGATATCTCGGTTACCAAGAGGCAACAGTTTACATGTATATTGCGACGGGTCGGTGGCGGAGGATGGCAGGGCAGGGTGTGGTGTCCTAATAAGGGATTATACGGAGTTTGGGACTGTGGACAGGATAATTGAACTCCGGCTTAGTAATTATATATCATCCACACAAGCTGAACTGCAGGCCATTCTGGCGTGTTTGGAGGAAGTACGTCATGACGACAAAAATGTTTTTGTATTTGTCGATAGCCGAGGAGCACTGGAGTCCTTAAACAGTAGAAACCCAGTCTTCATGTCTATAGTGGAGGACTGTAAGAGAAGAATAACTGAGATACAGCTGAAAGGTTATAGTGTGAAATTCATGTGGATTCCATCTCATGTTGGAATAGTGCTTAACGAGGTGGCGGATGACTTGGCCAAACGTGCCACATCAAAACCACAAGTTGACATCGAATGTGAATTCACAATGAGACAAATAAGAAGCAAAATCAGAAATATTCAGGCACAGGCGGGAGTGGAGAGGAGAGAGATAATGTATGAGAGTAGTCAAACCATGCAACACTACATGTATGTGAGTCAAACACCCATTTCACTTATGGTAAACACATGTCTCTGGCATCATCATTAGTAGCTTGTCCATGACACCACTACGTGTCATCTGTCCTTGGCACCTGCGTGTATCGTCTCTGCTAATGGGTTACTCAATCCCTGTTCCGATCAAAGGATAGCAGACAGACTAAAAGTGTTCCATTTCTTTAGCATGAGCCCTGTGATTTCTGAACCATGGAAAACTAGCCTCCCTGTCCCTCCCTGTCTTGTGCGTGGTGGTACATACACAAGGGGGCACAGGTGGAAGCTGAGTGCCCAAATGAGCCACAGGGACGTTAGAAAAAACTTTTTCAGTGTCAGAGTAGTTAGTGAATGGAATACACTAGGAAGTAATGTGGTGGAGGCTGACTCCATACACAGTTTCAAATGTAGATATGATAAGAGCCCAATAGGCTTAGGAATCTATACACCAGTAGATTGGCGGTTGAGAGACGGGACCAAAGAGCCGAAAGCTCAACACCCTGCAAGCACAACTAGCCGAGTACAAAGCCACCACTAGGAAACCCATTAATATTATTATCATTATTGACAAAAAGTATTCCAATTTTACCTAATCTGAGGCGTCCCGAGGATAAACTTTCACTATGTGGTCACTATCATTTCCTTTGAGCGTTGTGGTGGCCTCAGCGCCCAGCAGCAGGCGGGCGGGAGCCTAGCGCGGGAAACAGCCACTATAGACAATTAAAATTCCTTCTCAGCCCTACAACTCCTTCTCAGTCCTACAACACGTGGACTAACCTCGGCGCCATTTCACACTCCCTTCCACTGCGAGTTAAAAAAACTATTCAGATTCTGAACCTTTTATTTGTTATTTTTTTTACATTGTTCGTTTTTCTGATATTTTTTTTTTGTTTTTAAATTTTTGCTGTTTGACGAAGGACTTTTTTTTGCGGAAGGAGCTTGATTGTCATGTTTTTTTTTTTATTGGCGTGAGTAATCACTGGCCTTCAGGTGTGGTTGGTCTCTGGTCTTCAGGTGTGGCTGGTCTCTGGTCTTCAGGTGTGGCTAGTCTCTGGTCTTCAGGTGTGGCTGGTCTCTGGCTCCATCACACACACCCGTCACCGTAAACCCCGCTCCATCATACAGTAAATATTTACAGACATGGCGTTTAGAATTCAACCCCAGCAAGTGTAAGGTAATGAAGCTGGGCAAGGGTGATGGAGACCAGTAGGTGTCCACACCATAAGGGGAAGTCAACAAGGGGAATCACTCGAAACCATGGAACTGTGTGAGAGGATCGAGCTATTGAGTAGTCTTAATAAGAAAAGTTTCCAGAAGGAACAGCATCATTTGACAACTGAACGTCATTTAATAATATAAATAATGACCCCTCTAAAGGCAATTTAGACAACCTATGTCAGACCGTTCCTGGAATATGCAGCATAGCTTAAAATCTGCACTTTGTGTAGTATAAAATATAAATATATTGGAGATTTGTAAGAAGATTAGTGACAGAACTTAGACGGTATAAGTAGGACAGGTTAAAAGGCCAAACTGTCAACAGCGGAGAAGAGAAGAGCGGTGATATGACCACTGGTGTAGTTAACATCACATGCAACCCGTCCTCTTAAAAATAACGTCGGATACATATGACATATGTATATGTATCCGATACATGTCATATGTATCCGGGGACACCGAGGAGTGCAGCAAACTCTGGCTACTCTTGTAACACAGTGGCTGAGAAGGTTCAAGAGGCATGATTTAGTGAGAATCAATGAATAATACTAGAAGTGAGTTGTTGCATAATTGAAAGTGGAAGAACAAGTCAGCTGCAGCCTTGCAGCAGTTAGGGGGCCGGGTCCAACCCAAACAAGGCACATTAACAGGGTGGTTAAGCATTTAAAGGAAATGATATTAGTTTCCAAATTTCACAAGTTGGTCCTACCTCTGAGGTGGTGTAACCCACACAATAAAGGCATAACTCTGGTCTTCAGGTGTGTCTGGTCTTTGGTCTTCAGGTGTGGCTGGTCTCTGGTCTTCAGGTGTATAAAGTGAGGGACGAGTGTGGAGATACCTTGACACAACACCAAAGTGACGATGACGTTGTTTTAGATTCAGCTACTGGGAACAAACAGTTCCAAGTAGCACGGTCTATGGTGAGCCCGTAGTTGGCTTACCTGGCACAGGAGCGGGGCTGTAACTTCCAAAATGATCCTGTTTGTTGTTGTTTTAGATTTAGCTACTCAGCACGAAGTGTCTATGTAGCACGGGCTATGGTGAGCCCGCAACAAGATGATCCGCTGAGACCTTGACATGTATAACGTAAGACATGTCAGGTGAAGGACATTATTACAGTTATGAAGACAAACAATCAGGCAAAACTCAACGACATACCATAACATTTTCTAGGCAATTGGAAACAATTTCACTACAATTCAATACAATCACTGTCAAGCACAATATATTGTAGCCTCTCAACCCGCTCATCAACACACACACAGCTTTGCTCTTCCTCCCTGGGGTCGTCATGCTGCAACCTTGCAATTGCATTAGTGTCTTAAAATCTGCTTTTCTAACGTCGGGCTTTCTGGTGTGTGAAAACTCGCGTCGTTTGTCGCCATAAACTTGTATTTATATGATAGGAGGGGCCGGTGGCTGAGTGGACAGCACGCTGTCTCGTAATCCTAGGGTCCAGGTTTTTTTTTTTTGAGATATATACAAGAGTTGTTACATTCTTGTACAGCCACTAGTACGCGTAGCGTTTCGGGCAAGTCCTTAATCCTATGGTCCCTGGAATACGATCCCCTGCCGCGAAGAATCGTTTTTTCATCCAAGTACACATTTTA